TGACCCACTTCATTACTTCCCTCCACCACCTACCTCATTTAAATCTATTGACAATACACTCTATATAGACACAATGCCTTGCAGAAATGTATGTCATTTTTTGGTGAAGGAAGTGTGCATTATTCAAAAAAGCAGCAACCCAAAGCAATAGAAACCGAAAGCAAATTCTGCACCAAAATTGGTCAACCGGTTAGTCAACCAGTCGATTGACCGGCCGATCAACCGGCCTTGTTTGTGAACTTCATTTTTCTATGTGCACTTCCCTATCTGTTGCACTTCTTTTTTTTGTTTTGCACTACCTTTTCACACCATTTTGTCACCCTACACTCAATTTCAACACCTCTAAAATCAACAATTCACATTTAACACATTCCCAATCAAATTCAACATATATTCACATTATGTCTAGAACAAAAAGAGTAAGACCAAAATATGGTATAACCTCCAACTCTCTACCACGCCAACAACAACAATAGCAGCCTCAAAGTTCAGCTTATCCTTCCACTGATTTTCTCACTTACAATCATGAACAAGCCTTTCAAATCTTCCTGCTCAATATGATCTTCTGTTAGTTAGCAAACTTAATATAAGGCTATGGGGTCGCTAAATTTAATTAATTTATCACAAAAGGTATATTCTCGTCTTGTGTCTTTATTTTATATTCACTTGAAATCTACTGATGAAGAAGATGAAGACTTTAGTCTTCTATCTTATGTGAAAGGCAAGGCTATTGAGTTTGATATCTCCACTTTATCACGAATTATTGGAGTTGAGCAAGGAGATATGCATATCTATTTTCACAGTGAGTCTGACCTACTTGATATTGTTGGCAACATAAGTGAAGTATATACTACTATTTGAGAGGAGATTTACCCGAAGTAATTTTCAAGCAAGACATTTGAAACCCCACCTTTGTATTCTCCATCATTTTATAGTAGAAAATGTCACTCCCAAAAGATGACATTTTGATGTTGTTCCAAATTTTAATGCTTATTTGCTATATTGTTTATACACTAACAGTTGATACTCCCGAAGACCCCCATGACAATGCCATACCAGCAACTGAACAACCTCAATACTGGACTATTTTTTGGCTATGGAACAAGAATGTCACAATCGGTGTATTCAATGGGAACAACAAATAGCTAATCAGTTCATTGCATTAGGTTAATCAGTTCGATGCATTTGCCACCGCACAAAACTCATTAATTCAACAATTTGGTGAGTTTCGTTTGGACACTAAAAGATGTCATGAAGTGGAAAGCAATCGCATAGATCGAATTGAGCATCACGTCAGCGAGATATACCAGCACTACTTCCCTCCTCCACCACCTGACAATGACCTTTGATGTGTTTGGATGAGAGATTAGATGTATCACAAATTTATGTGATTTTTGTTTGTTTTGACGATGTACTACTACATTCTATATTTTCATTTTTTTATTTCTTGTACTACTTTTTAAATTTTTCTTTATGAATGTAGTAGTACTATGTATGTTTAAATTGGACTATGTAGCAATATTATGTATTTTTCTATTTCTTGTACAATTTTTTCGTATGTCTTGTTCATTTGTTTTTGTCATATGGGCCTGATCCTTATGTCACTACGTATGTTGTTCAAGTTTGATACAAGAAACATGAAAAGGCCATTTGTTAGCAAACATGTAACATTTTTCACAATTTTGATACAACAGAAATCAATGAATCTTACATCAAAAAAAAAAAAAAAAAAAAGATTTGTGAGCATGTTTTTTTTAAAAAAAATTATAGAAACAAAAATGATAGAAAGTTGAACTGTGAATCAAATTTTTAAAAACTACCTCTGCACAAAAAAATGATTTGTGTGTTTCAATCCTACAAAAATGATTTCTGAGCATGATTTAAAAATGATTTGTGAATCCTACAAAACTGTGTTTCTATCATTTTTGTTTTTAAAATTGATTTGGAGTTAGTGTGTTTCTATTATTGTTTTTGTTTTAAAAAAAAAATGATTTGTGAGCTCCATCATGAGAGAGTTACAGGTAGCTGTTGATAATTTTTTACAATTGTCAAACCTTGTATGTTGAGCTCTTCATACTTATTTGACAGATACCAATAATAAAACCAATACACTTAGTACTCATAACAGACCAATCACATGTTATTTCTCAAATTTTAAACCCACCATCAACATAGATTTAACTATAGAAAACAGATTAAAATGCAATGCAAAAATACACTACAAGAAATTGAATAGAAATTATGGTCTTTATGAAACAGTCATGGAAATCTATTTGTTGATTGAAATAAGATTTGCCATGGAAATTCTTCATAGTAGGCCCTTTGCATAGGATTTAAATTTGCCATGTCCATTGACATTATTTTATAATCCTTATTTCGTTGTTCTCTTTCATTCATCATAAATAATATTTTTAGTTGTTCCTCCTATCATCGACCTTTCTTTGCCGCTCTGCAGCCTTCTGTTCACGGTCTACCACCTTTTGTTCATCTAGCTTAATAGTTCTAGCGAAGATAATTGACAATACTTCAACAATTTTAGATTGGTTAGCAGTCATTTCATCAAATCTAACATCGTGAATTGCTTGATTTTTCAACTTCTCTTCCGCAGCCTTAGTACCAATTGGTCATGTTGATGTATTAGTCGATTGTTGGTCCTCCACAATAATGTTGTTGGGTTGAAAAGACTCACCTTTAGTTGTTGGATCGGAAAATGGATATGCTTGTTGCGTGGCTTTTTTGGGTTGTATTCTAATTTCATCCCACATACAATTTTGTTGCAAAATATCCCAACTTGTATCAAATGTGAAATATTTTTTTTGTATTGCATGATACATGCGCTTAGCTTCAACGACCTAGAAAATGAAAATTATAAACATTTCGATAACAAGCAGACTGAGCAATTAAAAATTGATATTTAATAACATAAATGAAAATTACCATGTCTACCTCAGTTGTTCCACTTTGTTGCCTCAATTGGATTTGCTCAAGAAAACCATAGAATTTATTAATTGCCTTTTGCATGACAGACCAACGGTGAGACAAAAAAATACAATTTCAATTTGACTCATCACTCAATTGTGAATTAAAATAAACGAGTACTCATCCCAGAATATTGTCATGGTTTGACTATTACTGATAATAGGATCTTGAAAGACGGCCAATCAAGATCTACATAAAGTTTCATCTTCTATAATGGTGAACGCTTTACCACAAAAAACACGATAAGTTTCCGAAATAAAATTAATATCAGTGTTTTGCTGTGAAGTCTGTGATTCCTCAAACATTTCAAAATCTTCCATAGTTTTAAGAACATTCAATATCCAACACACACACTGAACTATATTGTAAAAGAAACAAGAAAAGAGTTAGACAAAAATATGAAAAATTAAAGAAATAATAGGGATACTTACAAGTAGGTCATAATAAGTGAACTTATTGTCTAATAGGTCCTAAGAGAAAAATTTGTCATAAAAAAGTCACTAATTGTAAGTTTTAGCGACAATTTATAAAAATCATGACAAAAAAAGTCACTAATTATCAATTTTGTTTTAGCGACAATTTATAAAAATCATGACAAAAAAAGTCACTAATTATCAATTTTTAGCGACATATATAAAAAATTGTCACAAAAAAATATTTTTAGTAACAATTTTACCAAAAATTATTTTCAATAGAATTTGATAGGAATTAAATTCAACTATTAGAACCTATTGGTAGTTTACCCGAAATAAAATATACACTGAAGCTCACACAATGAGAAGACAAATGAAACAACAAGTGAAGAATGAAGTTAACCAGAGCACAAAGAAAATAGAAATTATAATGATATTGTGAAATTACAAGACTGGCAGAGTCTTATTTTATAGACCACAGCAATAGTAATTTTGTCAAATCCTCTGCAAAACCAACAGTAATCTTATTGGAGTTGCACCTGATAAATGAATGGCTAATTTTCATACAAATTTAAATCTACATGTAATGCATTTGCCTCTGCTATCCATGGATCAATGTTGGTAAAAAATTTCGTCTTGGTGCCACAAAAAGCAACCAACTTTGCAAGTTAGTTCACAGTCTAAACCATGGCTGCTGCTGCTCATTTTATGTGTAATCTGAATGACCGAGAGGACAACCGGCCGAACGTTTAGCCGGTCATCCGATGGGCCCCACAACCAACGTACACGCACAATAAAATGGTGAAATTTGTCCTAACTCCTCAGTCTGGTAAAAGTTTTGGGCCATTCTCAATTTGATAGGGTTTTGATAAAACCGTTTGAGACACAAAAATGTGTTCTTTTTTACCAAATTTAAATTTGATGATGAATCTGATGAACAATTGGAAATAGCCTTACCCTTACCAAACACAACTCAAATCTTAGACAATAGAGCCTCCTTTGAGAACAGGTTAATTTAGTAACTTTTTGACTATTTGACTAACATATGAGCTAAAAAAAACTAGTATGTTTGGGATGACTTTTTAATTTTTTACAAAAAGATGTGCAAAAAGTAGAGAGAAAATAAAATCTTTAACTTTTTAGTATGAATTATTAACTTTTTGACTAATTTAATAATTTTTGACTTTTTAATTAAAAAGAAAGATTCTCAAACGCGAACCCGTGTTTTGTGGAAAATGCATCTCCAAGAAGTCACTTGGTTTACCCTTCCAAACACAACAAACTCATTTAAAAGGACTTTTTCACCTACAAGTGTGTCAATTTGGGAAGTGACGCCATGTTAGCTCACAGTCCAAAAGTTGGACGCAAATTAAAATAAAAAATAAATAAATAAAGGAACTCAAGACTGAAAACAATATATACTCTAAAACCTTATGGACTAACAAAAAAGACCTAATGAGAAACGAGTACAACTGGTATGACTTCCCGTTAAATCCTCCTTTACTCCTTTATTATACATTTATGTTGTGTTTAGTTAGAAAGTTTAAAAAGAAATTTAGAAATAGAAAGAAAAAAAAATAGATAAAATATGAATAAAATATATCTTAATTTCACACTTTTTCTCTTTCCTTTTTCAAATTTCTCCTCAAATCTCTCAACCAAATACAATTTTATGTCATCTACAAGTATAGATATTTTATAAAGTATAATGTTTAATTTTTACATGTCAACGACCAAGTAAAAATTTATGCCTTGTTCATAGTTTCCTGTAGTATAAGAAAAACAAATCTGTGTACGAGACTGGCTGTGAATTATCTTCAGTTTGTTGTAGCAATTGCCAACTATTCAATCCCATGATGCTCAATCTTAGCTTCTTGTGGCGTCCTTTGATGTTTTAAGTTGTTCCAATGCAAACAGAAGATCTAACATGGTTGGCCTATTCCTTGGATCTGTGTCTACGCACTGTAATGCGAGTGAAGCTGCAGCTTGGGCCCCTTTCTTGGCATATTGACCCTCAAGTCGCGTGTCCATTATTCTTAGAACTCGCCTGTTGTCACATAGGAAAGGCTTTGCCCACTCCACCAAGGTTTCTTCAACATTGGCCCTCTCATCCCCAATTGCGCGCCTTCCAGATAGCAATTCTAACAAGACAACTCCGAAGCTGTACACATCACTCTTTGTAGTTAAGCGACCTGTTTGGGTGGCAGTGAACAGTTTCTTTTCTTTAGTCTGGATTAAATTATTCATGCATCTATGGAGAAAAATTAAATTGAAAAATGAGCATAATGATACAATTCAGTCCTTTATTGGGGGTTTATAGCCAATATTTATATACTAAAGCTTGCATGCCATCTTTTTTCCTATTTAAGAGAATATAAATACTATCTTGGAAATTCTTCACCTGGACAGACCAAATTGTCTAAAGCTCCTATCATGACATCAGAAAGTCACAATAGTACAACTAATTTTTCTGCTCCTGTTTTCAATTTCTTTTAAAAAAAGGTCAGTCAAAAGGTTGTCCGTGAACAATCAATAATAGTTACTAAAAAAAAACAATGAGATTATTATGCAAACTTTCCAACTTAAAAATGAATGTAGGTGTTTGTACTCTTATATTGAATCGCTTCTGTATCTTGGCTGCTGTTGAAATTTCCTAAAAAAGGAGGAAGCAAAAATGCAGGCTTGAGATCAAATGGAAACTCTCTCTACCCATTTGGGAGAAAATGCAATTTTTGTTGGCCAAGGAACTAACAGCAAACTTGAAAGTAGTGCAAAAATTTGATAACATATGATGAGTTTGGAATGGTTTTGACAGTAATAGAAGGATCAAAAACTTGAACTTTGAAAGGTAAAAACTGATTGTCAACAGCCCCATCACAATCAAGTATATAAACTGTTCTGATTTAAGGAAATACAATAAGGAAGCACTAGAAGGATGAAAACCTGTCGCTATGTATTCTGGTGCAGCATAACCCCGAGTTCCCACAACTCTTGTTGAAACATGAGTGTTATCTCCAGTAGGACCCGCCCTTGCTAAGCCAAAATCTGAAAGCTTTGCATTGAAATCCTACACAAATTTGTCAAAGCTCCATGAGGTATGGAAACTGATTGTAGAAATTCAAGGGCAGCATTTCTGTATTGATCGATGAGCTCAAAGTTCAAATTTGTGATCATACCGAATCAAGTAGAATGTTTGCAGCCTTCAAATCACGGTATATTACATTGGCATCCAAATTATGTAAAAAGGATAATCCCCGTGCAACATCAATGGCAATACTCATCCGTGTAGCCCAAGGAATAGGTTGAACACCTTCTGCAGAGACAAAGAAAAAACAATTCAAAGAACTCTCCGACTAGAAAATACATACACGCAAATATAAATCATCCATGGCTAACTCAGTAATTAATTATCTGTGGACTGTGATTTGAACAAATAAAATATTATCTAGTGAAAAGAGAATTTTTCTTCTGTAAGAAAATGCCACTAAAGATGCAAAAAATAAGAAAAACGAAAAGTAAAAGACACAATTATTCCAAGTGCACAGTGCATCAGAAAGTTCCCTACGCTTCTGATCCCCTCTCAGTGTAGTTAAACTACTTCCGTGATATGGGTAAATGAAAATACTATAAGATGTTGCTTTTGGGTTCGACAAACAAGCCCCTTGTAATTACGTAGAGATTGTGCATGTAGTCTTCCTGGAAGAGGATTAACGTCAGTTATATCATACAGTTAGTTTCCATCTTACAGGCAACGGGTAGATTAACAAGGCAGATCCATTTAACAGGCTTATAATATAACATAGCCCATAGCTTTTGTAAAATTGCAATTAGAAATTTTCCTTCACTGAAAAAATTGTACATACAATTCTTTCCTTCTTTTGGACAAGTAAAAATTAAATAGAAATATGATTGATTGCAAAAGAAACATGCTTTCAAGGTCAGCTTAGCTGGAAAAATCGAAGGAAAAACTTGGTGTGGCTAAATAGATACATGGTTGCAAATGGGGCTCCTTTCAAAAAGAAGTTTCTAACCGGGTCACATTTGGACTATATATGCACAATCATAGGTGGTGGTATCAACAGAAACTTGATCCCCTGCATGATCATTCTCAAAACCTTTTCTTTTCCATGGCTTAATCATCTAGTGCACTATCAAAAATCCACTCTTGTAATACTTTTGTAACTTTCATATAGTTCTTGTTTTCATTCAGAAGAATAAGACTAATTGATATATTTCAAGGAATCTCAAGGGAAAAAGAAGAAGCAAGGAAATCAACTTACTTCTGAATATATGATTTTCCAAGCTTCCCTTTGGCATGAACTCATAAACTAAAAGTTTATTCTCAGAATCTGAGCAATACCCAATGAGTTTCACAAGATTTTCATGGCGAAGCTGACCTAAGTAGTTTACTTCTGTCTGCCAGTTCAAACAATTAAATGGAGTTTATTTCATACAACAGCATGCAAGGGTATTCAAGAGAAGATGAAATCTTAAATTCAGTCTTGACACATACAAGCCATTCCCAGTGACCTTGAAAGCTTTCTGTCTTGAGCTTTTTGACAGCCACTACAATCCCAGTTCCAGGTTTGGTGGGAGCAAAAGTGTTCTCATCAATCCATCCTTTAAAGACACATCCAAACCCTCCCTCACCAAGAAGACTATCTGGACGGAAGTTTTTGGTGGCATTCTTGAGATCATTGAAAGTGAAGGACTTGAGGTTGTTGGAGATAGATGTATCACCTTTGGATGCTATGAGAACTTTGTTCAAACTTCCATTCTGTCTGGAAAGGGTTGAATCATGTTTTGCCTTGCTAGGGGGTGTTGTCGTATCTAGATGAGAGGAGTAGAAAAAATTATAAAGCAAATAAAACATTTAGCAATAAAACCATTAGACTAAGTTGCATCAAAAAAAACTTTTTGACCCATGTGCAATTCCTCTATGCAAATCTTTTGGAATTGGAACTGATTCAAAATTCAAACAAGTCATACAAAATAGCACTAGCATGAGCTAACAAACAATGCAGGAAAATTCATCATAAACAGTTATATTATGTGATCTTTATATAACTGCTAACGTAGTAAACAGTCTCATATTAGTTTTTCACTTGTAACTGTTGACTAATTAAATACAACTAAAAATATTGTCCGTATACATGAACTTTGTGGAATGCTTTTAGTCGGGTTTTGGTTGACGCTAGGAAAGTGAATAAGTGAAAAGTTGACTTGAGGTGGTATGAGCAAGGACTCTGTAAATATCTTATCAAGATATCATAAGTTCTAAATGAAGAAGTGTACAGGAAAGGAAAACTAAAACAATAACAAGTGCATCACTTTCTGGAATATGCAATGATAGGTATCTAAGATTCAAAGCTACAAGATCAACTGTTTCAGCAAAAGTGTTCAGAAGATTAACAAGCAAAAATAGATCTCCAAGGCAGTGGCAGAACATCCAAAAGTATACATGATTCCTGTGAGAATATAGAATATATTATCCTGTGTTTATTATCCTGTGTTTTACAAATTAGAGTTAATCATGCCTCTAATAGGACTCTAATTTGTAAAACACAGGATAATAAACACAGGATAATATATTCTATATTCTCACAATTCCAACATTTAATACCATGTAGTTAATGAGCTACTAAGAGATGAGACAACAAATTGGTCAAAAATTAAGAAGACTGAGAAAAAAGGTCAGTGATTGTTTCCAATCTTGATCGAAACTCAAACCAACTCACATTTGTTTCTTAGAAGGCAAAGGATCATTCATTGTGTGTTACATTGCTCTCTTGAATCAGGTAAACTCCCTGAAATTTTAGCAGGGCAGTTTCTTATGTTCAGATCAGAGTAAGTGAAAATCTAGTGGTCAATTGAAGTTTCCTAGTCTCCAAAAGGGAATATTAGTGTGCCTGAATATACTTATAACAGGAAATTCATATACACACATATTTGCTTTCTACATCCGGAAAATTTTATCTCACAAGAAAAATTAAGAGTAGCCCAATCATGAGAAAATCAAGATCCATTTGTTTCAGTTCCTATTAGGTGAATGAAAGAGCAAGGAAAAAATCAATGTCTTTTCAAACTAGTGCTCCCTCTCCACAAATACAGGTAATGCGTTTTGGATTTTGTTAACATGCACCCTTAGGGCACATGTTAAGAAGTTTAAAAAGATTGGACATTCTGTATGAAAGCGCATGCAACAAAGAATGTACAATCTTTTTAAACCTTCTTAACATGTTTCCAAAAGGCACACGTTAACAAGACCCATGCATTTTAGAAGCTACCAAACACCCTAAAATGCTGAATAACACTATGCAAGTATGTTTTACATGGACAGCCTCATCTAACAGGACTAAACTGGGTGTACATTTTTTCTTTTTTCTTTTTTTACGTAACACGTCAAGAAATATTTTTTCCAGTTTTGAGTCTCTTGGGTTCAGAATTAATTCAAACTTACATAGTAGAAAAAGAAAACAAAAGAGAGGGGCAACCCACCAACAGCATGAAACTACTGCCATTACAGGGCCTGGGAGAAAAATTAGTAGATGCTCTTGGAGAAATGCTCCATGCCATTTATCAATTGACACCTCTCATGTTGTCTTTTAAAACACCGACACAAAAGTGATGGACCCTATTGTCTAGACCAAAAACTATCGAATTTGCTCCAAGAGCACTAAATAATTTTTCGGTCTAGAATGGTTTACACAGCCTTACATTACCCCCACATGCAGAGAGGATGTTTCTGTGTTTTAAATCATTGACGCCCAAATCAGAGTGGAGCAACTTGACACTGGGTGAAGGCCCACCCCTTCTTGCCACAAGAGGCTCAGAACCCAGAAAAGAAAAAAATATAAAAATTCAAGCTAAAGTTTTCATGGATTGAAATGATAAAGATGGCCATGGTTACTTACTCCATGGCCAATAATAAGCTTATAACTCCATCCAAGATTTCTAAAGTTTGCTTAGAGAGTCAGAGAGAGGACTGAATATACAAGAAGTTGAAATCGCTCTCCAATTCTTCTCTGCAGAAGAGATGTTAAAAGTAAATTGTGGAAACCCATATCTCAAAAGGAACAAAAACTAAAATTGTCAAAACAACAAATGCAAAACACAAAAAAAAGAAGAAGAAGAGAAATCAAAGACAGCCACAAACAAACAAGCGGACTCAAATACTAGGAAATTCAAAATCAGAAGACAAATTTACCAAAGAATTGGCTGGAAGAAGCATGAGCACACTTTACTGGTCTGCACCAGCAATTACCCATAACTAGAAACTCTCTCTCTCTCTCTCTAACTCCTAGTACATTGAATTGGGTTTTTGGGTCTCTCTCTCTCTAACTCCTAGTACATTGAATTGGGTTTGGGAAGCAGAGTTGATCTTCTCGGTCAGTCAAAATGTCTACGCAAATCTACAGAGCAATTGTTTGAAAATCAATCAAATACTATACAAGTTTTGTGGTCCCACTATTACACAAACTGATATCGATATACAATGTGATGTATACAGACGAAAGACAATTATAGTATTAATTTAATGACTGACTTACAGAGAGAGCGAGAGCGAGAGCGAGAGAGAGAGAGAGAGAGAGAGAGCTCTGGCGATGGTCAAATCAAATGCTGACGGATTCAATCTTCTTCTATCTCATCGCAATTGATAGGGAGGTTTCGATGTTCAAATGCTGACTGTAATTCCATTTTGTCCGAGCGAACTTGTGTGCTTATGTATTGAATATTAGTATTGTATAGAGGGTCGTCCTGATTTGTGAGAAAATTTTCAAACTTGCTAACCGTTCAACGTTTGGCAAAACCCAATGCCGAAAGTTTCGCCAAAACCATTTTTTAAAGAGTGGCATTCACACCCATAAATGCACTCCCTATTTTTTCTTTTATCCTCCTTATAAATTTTAAAATCTTTAAAAAGAAAATTATTCTCGCAAATAATATTAAAACTATTCTTAAATATTTCACCTATTGAATGCACATTCCCTACTTCTACAAAAACCTCGTTTCCAAAAAAATCCTAACAAAACTTACTAAAAAAAAGAAGAGTCTCATCATTTTCAAAACTCATGAAGAAGAAGAAAAATAAGAAGAAAAATATTGTCTCTGCCGATTTAACCAATTTTCTATTTGATATTTTTCATTGTTCTCAAATTTAAACTCTTGATTTAAGCTACAATAATCTTTCAAGGGATGTTTAAATACAAAATTTATCTATGATTGTCACCAACCTTATATATCATACAATCACTTCTCGGATATTAAAATCTCTGATTCCCAATTTTTAAAATGGTTCAGCTCTTCAAGTTTTCTTCATTCGAGACTCATCGCAGATCACAAAAAGTTCAAAATCAATGTTCGGGTATCGGTTCCCGAACAAATAAACAATGTTCAGGCCTGTGTTTCCAAATTTTGATCATACGTTCGAGAGTTCAGTCCCTAAAAAATGACGAATATATTTTATTATTTTTGTATTTTTTTTAATATATTTACCTTTACAAGACCAATCTTCTCTGAATTAAGAGCAACATCAAAGTTATAAACCTCCTCTAAGCTTTTATTGTTGTGCACTTCTCGTCTTATAGAGTTGTGGTTGCCAAAAAAATTCTCACTCATTGTCATATCCGGAAAAGTATAGGTAACCAAATGATTGCCATAGTTACTGTCGGAATATTGCGGCCAAAGAATTTTCAAAGTTTTGAGAGTAGGTAGGTTTTGAAGGTGGAATTTGGAAAAGATGAATAGTGGTGGAGGTAAGTGCTCTCATAAATCCTAATTTATGATGTAGTGAGTGTATAGGTTTAATTGTGAAATGAAATGTCTCAAAATTAATGATATTCTTTATAGTAATTTTATTTGAGATTATTATTATAATAATAAAAAACTAAAAATTAAAAGGTTGAAAATAATTTATAAGGGGTTAATAGCACTCTTTTTTCAAAAAGTAAATATAAAAACCCAAATCACACCCAGCCAGCTCCACCACTATGGAAAAATTACACCACACGGCCCTCCCTTGAGACCCTGACCGTTAACCAACCGTTAGGTAAGTGGATGAAATTTTTTGAATAAAAAAAAAAGGATGAAATTTGATGAGGTAATCTAAATTTTTTTTTTAATCTTTTTTATTTTATGAAATACCATATTTATCCTTGTTTATTTTGTAAAATTTTTGGTAAAATAAAAACACTAGTATTATGTTCTCCCCACCCTCTCTTCTTGTACCTCATTTCTTCTCTCTCTACTTTATTTCTCATATTCTTTCTAATAAGAGTCATATAAATATGAATGGATGAATATAAATCATAGAATTTTGTGAGACTTCTTTGCTAGGGGGCTTGGGATACATGGTCACAATAGGATAATATGGTTCCTTGGTGGAAGATTTTTTCGATGATCCAAACTGTTTATTTTATAGAATTTGTCAAGCATATTATTCTTGTAAAAAATTAAGTTAATTGAAAATCTACAATATCATGATTTGATTCTAATTGTTTTTAAAAAAATATTAAAATCGTGTTAGCTGTTTATTTTTTAAAAAATAAATGGGTGTGTTTGGTTTGTGTTTATAGACTAGTTTTTTAGATAAAAAGTACGAAAACTTGTTCGATTTGTCTTTTTCAGAAATGATTTTGGAAAATTATTTTGGGAGAGAGAGTTTTAAAAAAATTGATTTGATGTGTATGAGAGAGAGAGTGATTTTGAAAAATAGATAACCAAACAAAATTTTGATATTTTTTTGAAAAAAATTGTTTGGTTTGATTACTCTTGAAAATTTGTTTGTAGAGAATTTTTTTCAAAATTTTTTCTAAAAAACAAACGAAATAAGGCCAATATATTTGTGTCATGGAATTATAAATGTTCAATCAATTTCATTTTTTTTGCAAGAATGATCTACACAACAAACTATGGCTTTGTTTGGTTGTTAATTCAAATCAATTTTCAACACGTGAGCTCACGCATGATGTTTGGATACGACGTTCAAAAATTGATTCCGCGTGTTAATTCAAATTACATTTTGAAAATCTGTTTGGCAGCTTGTATCTCCCTTTCAACGTTTCTGCCTTCTTCATCGTCTCTGCAACTTTCACGTGAACCTCATCTACATCAGTCCTTCAGATTCATCATCTACATCAGTCCTTCAAATTCATCACGGGTGGCTTCTCTGTATCAAACATCCGTACTTCAGATTCATCACGGGTGCGTTTCAGACTCATTTTATAAATAATGAATCCACCCAACCCGCTCTGTACTGGTATCATATTTCACAAATTGACTGAGTTACGATTTGTGCGTTGCGGACGATTCTTCTTACGGGCAACCAAACAACGACGACTGCGAGGTGAAATTACTCACAAATTTATTTACATATTTTGTTATAGGGAAATTATTTGAGAAATTCATCTTAATTTATTTTTAATTTTTTTCAGGTCAAATTTATCAAATTTATTGTCGAATCCGACGAGCAAACAGTGGCATATTCAATCAGTATACACATTCCATCACCGGCGATAACTATTCAACTCCCACTAATCTGGTAAATAAATCCTTTATTCGTCATCTGTTATCTGAAAATGATTTCAGACGAGTTGATAAATGATTTCATTCTTCATCCTTCATCCTAAACTGTTTCAACTTTTTTGTTCTTCAAGAATAGTCAGTAAATCAATATTCATCTGTTATGTATAAATGATTTCGGAGAAGTTGAAATCAGTTCCTAGATGGTTTATGAGAATTTGTAGAGGTGTATTTTCCATTTCAGATCGGTTGTTATTTTAAATTATGAACTGTTTGAACCTTTCATCGATCATCGATCAGAACCTGAAGCGGCAGTGCCTGGGACACCCGGCCGGTCAACCACCCGGTCCTCCCACCTCTTCCAATTTTGTCTTCCAGTTTTCCATTTCTTCGTTAATGGTTTAAACCTACCGGTCTGTTTGAACCTACCAGGCTTTTTTACTAATTTTTTTTCCTTAATTTTTCTTTTACTGATTTGTTTCCTCCTATTTAAACACAATGTTTACTGATTTTTTTTTTTATTATTTGCGGTTATATTTCTGCTATCTGAATGTTTTTTTTTTTGGTGGTTATATTTCTGCTATTTAAATTCAATTAATCTGCTACGTATTTTTTTCCTTGAAATAAAATCATTTGTTCTTTTTCCTTTATCTGTG